CCCAATCTTTCATTTTAAAATAAGAAATGGAGTATCTGCAATAAGCGCTAAAGTATAGTCTTACCTCAAAAAGATGCATAGAAAAATTTCCAAGATCAAAAATTGAGAATCTGATATAGCCCAAAAATTTGCTAAAATCATGACTTCCTTTGCTCACCCTGTATAACTGGATAAATAAAAGAAACATACTGATCCTGTACGTGTTCTCAAAGAGTTGGTCAAGAACCCACGAATACCGCAACTCGATATGAATTCCCTTCCCAAAATATCGAGATTTGAATTTGGGGAAAATTTTCCATGTAGCAAATCAACTGTCTACCAGTTTATTCACATGAATATACAGGATGCAGTATGTGCCAAAAACCAGTCCTGAAGTTGTGAAAGTGATACTCGAATCACATATGCCAAGATTTAATTTCTGAAATCACTATTTTTCTATAGCTCAAGCTGTTTTTGTGATATCGACATAAACATTGAGAGTCTGGTGTTTCTGAGGATGATGAATGTGATTACATTTTTACTGTATGTAGAGGGCACCAGTTACAGTCTATAATCTATAACTTGCCGTATCTTTCTTTCCAATGTCAATTCATCACGATTATTATTGAGTAAAAAAGGTGCTGATTATGTATTGTATTAAACATGCCCTGTTAATGATATTTGTAACAAATACTGAAATGCCTACTGACCAAAAAAACAATTTTCTAAGAATGGTACAGATAAGATATAAACATTGCTATGAATATTTCACAACGTCAATAAGCCTGAGGTATTACCAAGTATCTATCAAGGCACTTTTAACGAACTGTTTGGAATCAGCCATTTTAGTATGCCATAGAATGTTGAATTGCGAAAATACCCAAAAAAGGGTTTATTCAAGTAACCTCTTTTACTTAATTTGTCATGATTTTCGATAAAAAAATATGGGACAGTCCCAGCATTTTTTGGCAGTGGCAGCGAATTAAAATGAATCTGAAGATTAGATCTGACAAGTCTCCTCATATTTTATTTCTCTTTTATCGTAGCTATCCAAATTAGGTGCATTTTTTTCAGTGACGCTTAAATGTAGGAAACAGGCTGTTTAAATTATCTAGCATCTTACTTCAGCAGGCTCTGGCATGTTTTTATAGTTCAATAATAAATCTTTAGACTGTTGTAGGATAAGTTGATATGTTACGAAGACTATATATATTATTTTTCCAAATAAATGCTTTATTAATAAATTGTATGGTTGACTCCTACTGGGCGGGGCAGTGGCAAATTCTTGTTCTGGAAGTTGTTGCACTCAGTATACAACTTCTGTCCGTAAGTTCAAACGTTATTTATCGTCCAATAACATTTGAATTTAAACCACCTATCCCTGGTACAATGAAAACTGGACACACGCTGTTTTTTTTTTTTGGCAAATAAAGATATCGCTCCAAGATTGGGACATGTTTAGTTAGTCATTAGAGGCATTTGAAAGTTAAATGGGCTATCTCTCCCTTACGGTTTGTGACCGTGACTTTCGTTTTTCAAATGGAAACTCTGCATATTTTCCTCCATAATCGTAATATGTACAGGGTGTTCATTTAAAAACTTCTCACTACGGATTTATCGAACACCATTGATTAAAAAACAACAACTTTTCAACCAAAAACTCCTTCACCCCCTTTCACCCTCTGCCCCCCATTATCATCACCTTAAAAAATGTAAATTACAAGAGGTATCAAGTTGTTTGAAAGGTCCTTCCAAACATGCTAGCTATTTTGACGTTTGATTTGTTAAAATCGGTCAATTTGTTTTCAAGAAAATTAAAAAAATATTCATCTTAATTTTTGTTCATATAGAAAACAAAAACACACGAAAATATCACTTTTTATTTCAATAAGTGTTCAAAGTGTTGCCCGTTATTATCCAAACATTGATATACTCGATTTTCAAATTCCTGACGGACTTTTTCAAAAACATGTTGTGGGATATCATGGCAGCTTTCGATGATGTGTTGACGGAGTTCATCCAAACTTTCAGGTTGGGGAGTAAACACAATACATTTCGAATGGCCCTATAGAAAAAAGTCTAATGGCATCAAATAAGGAGATCTAGCAGGCCATTATTTAGGCCCACTTCTCCCTAGCCATTTAACTGGAAACTCGTCGTCTAGCCATTGCCGCACCGGAAGAACATAGTGAGGAGCGCCGTCTTGCTGGAAATATATTTCAGCCTCATCAAGTATGGGGTTTCCATCCTCTTCGATTTGGTTCCGGTGATAAGCGGATTGATGGTATTTTCCAACATTTCCATAGAAATGTCTCCATTCAAATTTCCATTAATAAACAATGGCCCAATCACTTTTTTTCCTACAATGCCAGCACATACATTAATTTTTTGGAGGTACTGGGTATGCCCTTCTACAAAAGCATGAGGATTTTCATTGCCCCAATACCTGCAGTTATGTTTATTAACAAATCCATTTACATAAAATGTGCATTCGTCACTGAAGCAGGTATTATTTACATATCATTAATCACTGCAGTCAATTTGTTCACAAAACTCAACTCGTCTATCGAAATCATCTTCGGATAACTCTTGCAATATTTTCATTTTGAATGGATGAAATGTATGGAGTTTACTATTATGTATGTATCGATGAAAGAGACTAAACCAAAACAGTGATCATCGCGTGATCAGTACACTGATATATTTCAAGAGAGAGGGAGCATAACTGTTATTGGGCAGAATAGGTCGAGCCCTTACACAAAACCAATGACCAACCAGAGGGTGTACTGGGAGACGATACGACCGTGCATGCCGGCTGACCCGGTGGCTGGCCGTACAGCGTATAGTACAGAGTTGGCATCAGATTTATACTGGTATTACTGTGTGCCTATTGGATTTGTCAGTTTAATTTCGTAGAACTCAAAATGTCTGATACGGATACAGCTGATAAAGTTGTGGATATAAGCTGCACACCGCCTAAAAAGGGGTAAAAGGCCTCATTTTAGCGTTATCGAAAAACAAATAATTATTAACATTTATAAATACGAAATGCAAGGAAGGAGTGACTCAAGTGTTCAGGACATTGTTTGCAAAGCTGACACCTACATATTTTTCAATACTTGTAAGACGAGTAATTTCAACTAATATTATATTGTTCTTGTACATGCTTAAACTATATCGAGATAAGAAATCAAGCAATCATTTTGTTGGGTTTTTAATGCTTTCAATAGGAGCGGTTTTAAAGTGTCCAAAATGAATCATTTTTAGGGAAATGTAAGCGATGGATAATTTGCCACGTCGGTAATGAAGATGGATTTGTGTCCGATGCTTTATGGGCATTTGAATCCAAAGAAACGGGAGACTACCACGAAGAAATGGATGGAACCTCGTTCGAAAATTGGTTCTCAAATACTCTACCGAAGCTTGAAGATAATTCGGTTATAGTATTAGATAATGCTTCATTCCACACGAGAAAATTCCAACAACATCAACAAAAAAATCAGAAATTCAAGGATGGCTTAGAAATAAAATAGATTGATTATGATGATAGAACGGTTAAGGCAGAATTGTTACAAATTGTCAAGACGCATAAAAATAAATATAACCTGATCATAATTATTGATGAAATGGCCTAAAACTAAATAAAACTGTTTTACGGCTGCCTTCTTACCACGTTGCCCATTCAATCATAAATCTTAATGACAGTGGGTGTTCCACGGCCTCAGATCTAGAATGATTTTCGTTTTCAAATATATGTATTTCCGGTTTTAGAGGTAAAATGTTTGTGCAATAATTTTTTTTTATAATATTTAGGTATTCAAATCCTTTTTCTTTCAACTCCACCTAACTATTCATTTTTTAGTCTAATATTAAAATTAACTGTTTGCACACAGACGTCCCTGTTCAAGCGGTGGTTAGGTATACTTGTATGCATATGCAATTATCGTTTTCATGTGTCAATACATTTTTTAAAAGCCTACTTTATAAATGCGCCATACGACACATTTCGAGTATAATTTATTGATAAAACACTTCTACTAAAAACAGCAATAGACCGTTGTTTTCTTTTTGGTCATGACAGTTAAATTAAAAAAATACATTAATTCCAAGCTTTACGTTTGGACGTGTCGTAGAACCACTAATCATTAATTTATTCTTAGTGCTGCCCTGTAACGTGTTCCGCGTTCTGGAGCGCGATCACGTGGAGTATACGTGAATATGTTTAGGTTTGGTCTCTTTCTTCGATGGATACATAATAACTGTGTGTACAGGGCCTAATGAAATACCAGTCGCAGCAACAATTTGGCGTAATGAAGTATTAGGATTTATTCCAAAATGACCCAAAACTATAGCTTGAGCGGCTTTATCCAAAACTCTCCGATCACGTTTTATATTTGCAACAGATCCAGCTTGAGTAAATTTAGTAACAAGGTCCAAAACATACCTATCCGAAGTTATCATCCCCGGATGTCTGGCGTTAAACATGACGGCAGTTTGCCGAGCACATTGATTTTGGGTACCATAAATTAGAATCATGTCCAATCTTTCGGCAAGTGTGAAAACCATTTTAGAAGTAAAATCTGAATCAATAAATTAATTTTCACTCTCCCAAGATTGTCACAAAGGTAATTTTCAGCAAATTAAATTCTTTTTCCCTTAGCAGCTAAACAGGAATAACAATAAATACAGTTCGCCCAGGATATCTGTGTTGATGAAAAGATTGGTGAAAAAAATCGGGTTGTTATTAGGTTGTCGCCACGTCTAATCTTCCGAATTGCTGTTTATGTTAGTGGTTTCCGTTTTAAATTATAAACGAATTGTAAATATGGCAAACTCTAACGGGCAACATTTTGAACTCTTACAAATTAAGATAGATCAAGATTTTTCTAATTTTCTCGAAAACGAATCGACTGATTTTAAAAAAGTCAAACGTCAAAATAAAGGACTTCGAAAGACCTTTCAAACAAGCTATTCATTTAAAATTTTTAAAGGAATTACCCTGGTGGGCCGAGGGTGGAAGGGGGTGAAGTAGTTTTTGGTTAAAAAGTTGTCCCCCTTGACAAATCTTTTGACGTGTCTCGGCTCTTTTAATCAGTGGTTTTCGATAAATCCATGGTGGGAAGTTTTCAAATGAACACCGTGTATATCACATGGTAAGGATAGATTTGATAAAAAGGTAACCTATTATTCCCAACATCACGTGTTATTTGACTTCCCATATAACGAACTATTCTAAAACATATTTTTTATTTACAAAATTCTATTCCCTTGTACATTATTCTTATTGTTAATAACAATTTTCGACTGCCTTTTGGCTTCTTCCTTGAATGCCAAACTGTTCGCCTTCTTTTCCACCCTTCGCTCCTTTCTATACTCCTTTAGCTGTTTTTTCCTATCCCTTCTTTCTTCCGGAGTCTCATCCTTTGGACGTATTGAAAGTTCTGACAGCTGAGATATTATCGACTGCCCACCATGCGATTTGGCATCAGTGCTTCTGTAGCCACCGTTTTCCTCATTTAATTTATTCAGTGCTTGTGCTGTCAGTTTATTTGCGCCCAGAACGTTTTTGGGGATACCAGTTCTTTTATCTATTTGTATCTTTCCATTCTGAAAGAAGGGAAACGGTTATTATGGTTTAGGTGGTAGTGCTAGTAACATCAGTAAATTTTTTCTATACACACAGCTTAAGGTACAAAAGTTCATTAATATAGGCGCTGATATGGACATATCAGATTTATTATACAGGGTGGCCCAACAAAAAGGTCTCATCCCATTTGTGACTCTCCTGGTATATTTTGGGACGCTCGGACATGTCAATTTTGATTTATTTCTAGGGGGACGTGTTTTCATCTGTAGCCGTAAAATAGAGGGTGAACCAACAATAAGATATTGCGTTAAACTTTTTCATTATTTCATTTTGATTATCCATGAAGTTTTTAGTAACTTTTGTATAATAAAGTATATATATATATATATATATATATATATATAGGTGAAAAATGAAAGCTTCCGCCTTTTGTTGGGTACTTCGACAAAATTTAAGCAAAGAGGACTCTTTATACTTTTTTTAATTCTCTCTAGCTTTCAATGGACCTTGCCATCATCATCAGGAGCTGCAATTACAATGATAACAGTAGCAACAAAAGTGTAAAATGAATTTAAATTGACTCAACTTACAGTAGTATGTGAGGATGTTGCTAATTGTTGTTTACGTATAGGATGAGGGAAACGTCCAGTAACATGATGAGAGCTGGATAGATTGTACAATGGTCAAAATTATATAAAATATGACAAGAACAAGTTAAAAACAGATTAAAAATTATTTAAAAAACATTAGAGCATTACATCGTGAAGCCACTTGATGATTGCACAAATTAGTGGTCATGGAATAATGGAATGTATATATATATATATGTATCTTCAGTCGTTGTGAATCTATATGACTTTATAATAAAATTCTAGAAATTGTGATAAGGGATTATATCGTAAAAATAATAATAAAATCAATATAGTTACCACAGTAACAAGCCTTTACTTTAAAACTAAAAAACATAGCATTAAAAAAACAACTTACAGTTTACACACACATCAAAGTTAAACTTAATTTGGTATAAAGAGGTAGGTCAAAGTGGTAAAGTGTCTATTTACCTCCATGCAATAATAAAGATTTTGTTCGAATTTATTCCTCACATTTTCAAGCATTTCATTATTTGTCTACATTCATCCGTAATCCGCTGACGAATATCTTGATCGGAATCTGGCTTTGTACTGAAAACTTTACTTTTCAAATGCCCCCAAAGAAAGTAAGCGAACGGGCTTGGCGCGGAGATCTCGGCGGTCACTTGATGGGGCCTCGTCTGCCGATCCACTGATTCGGGAAATAGGTCTCCAAAAACTGTCGTACTGGAGTCACATAGTGCTGAGGTGCAACATCTTTGTTGGAAATTAAAGTAATTTTCATTATAATTAACGTCATTTTCTATTATTTCGGTAATTCATGGCTCTATTGTATTTTTTAACATGTCCGAGTACGTCTCGCCCGTCAAGTTTCGAGGAATAAATAAGGGTCCTACAATATGACTTCCGAAAATGCCGGCCTACACATTTATTTCTTCAGGAATCTGCGAGTGTACCTCTCGAAACAAATGTGGATTCTAGTCACTCTAATGTAGACAATTATGTCTATTTACAGCACCACGTAAATAGAACGTACACTCATCCGAGAAACAAATATTAAAAAAACAAATTTGCATTGTTGATTAATTCTCAAAACTTCAACCCTCTATCAAAATCACCTTCATTAAGATCATGGACAAGTTTTATCTTTTACGGGTGAAATTTGTTATATTTCAAAATTCTTTGTACTGTTGAACGTGTAAATCCTGAAGAAGTAGCCAGTCCACGAGTGGTTTGGGTGTTAAGTGTTCCAAAACTGCTGTTGCTACAGCTTCATTTCTAACTGGTCGATTTTCCAGTTCATCAAATTTTCTTATAAACTTAGCCACATACTTATCGTTAATACTTTTGTCTGGTTATAACGCATTAAACAACTGGGCAGTAGCTCTTGTAATGCTCCCATTTTGGTAATACAGTTTTGTTATTTCTACCCATTCTTTAATTGTTCAATATTAATCACAACTAGGTAGGTAACTTAACAATTTGAAATGAAAGACTAAGCTTTTCTATGACATACGATGACACTTTGTGATGTTGAATGTGCTTGCTGGTATCCATGATTATTATTTTTTCCAGTGCATTCCATTATCATCAGTATTAAGTTAAGTTAGTCGAATTTTATTATAAACTCTCCAATAGCTTCACATCGACTGAAGGTAGGTATAAGTCTTATTATACAAAAGTTACTAAAAACTTCAGAAAATCTAAAAATTAAAAAAAATTGGGGCTTCCTTTTAAAAATCTAAAGTGTAACACAATATCTTATCTTTGGATCACCCTGTATTCTACGGTTATATATGAAAAGATGTCCCCCTATAAATGAAAATTGACGAGTCCGAGCTTTTTTCACCAAAATATACCAGGAGAATCACAAATGGGCCATCCTGTATGTATGCTGGCAGATACGCGGGTGGGTTCAGCCAATGGGTGATCTCACTGATGAAATGCATCTCTTATAGGAAAATACTGGCCGGGATTTAAAATAAACACCCTTAGAAGGTTACCGATAAGAGAGGAAAAAAGAGTATCAGCGTTAGAGGAAGCGAAAGAGGGAGCGAGAGAGAAATAGAGAGAGAGCAGGAAAGGAAAGATACCAAGCACTCGGGCAGCAGCGGTGGCGTAGTGGCAGACGTTATGGGTCTACTAATAAGCCACCGTGCGCTGCGCGGGTTCGAATCACGTCCCAAAAGAATTTTTCTCTTGGCTATGGATGTTGTGATTGTTCGTAGGTGGTAGATGGTCTCTGACTGTCGAACGTGGAGGTACCACCTGGCGGATCTCTAAGGCGGGGCCAGAATGTGTGCATGTTGCATGCACACGTATTCCCTCGCTAGAGTCCGTGTGGCATCCCCCTTTCCCTGTATCCCCTATAGCCCCTCGGTGGTGCAAAAGGGTCCCGAGACTATCCGTTAAAGAAGAGAATGTAATGTAGTCGGGGCGACAGTACCTCACACATGTGAGCAGTACTCGAGGCTAGGATTTATCTGGGCGTTGTACAGAGTGAGGAGGTCATGTGGAGAAAGGTACTTCTTCGCCCTAAACAGATAGCCTTTTTTTCCCAGCAGCTGCCGCTATTGACGAGATGTGTCCGTGCCAGATCAAGTCCTCGGTGATCTGGACTCAGACTAGCCGAAATAAACATCGAAACCGAATGGTTTTGGAAGCATTAAACTGTACTCGATTGTTGCGTCGCCAAGACGTGATAACCTGCAGGTCGCTCGTTAGAGAGGAAGTCGCTGCTAGTCTTCTTTTTTTTCCAGCTCAGCGGCAGAGATCGGCTTGTAACTCTGAATTCCTGCATGTAGAGCTGTCATCAGCAAAGCTGTGGATTGGATGGATCGTACAGGTAAGGAGGTCCTCGATATGTAAGAGCAACAGTGTTGGAGCCAAAGCTGATCCCTTGAGAACACCCGCGTTGACGTTGTGGGATGAAGAGGAGAACCCGTTTTTATTAATATTTATTTTATTACAATAGTACCAACGGTATTTTTGCTATCTGGGTGTCTTTCTGACGAGTGCACAAATAATGTTTGTGAGCCTACAATATGTATATTACTCAATGTGTGATTACCTACCTTTGGTTCACAGATCAGCTTGGGATGATTATATAAATTTGAATACGTGCTAAGGATACTTTCACAGTCCCACTTTTCCTGCTCGACAACTTTAATCTTGTCAAATGCTTCCTCCTCATCTGACTCAACTTCAAGCCGTTCCTTGATTTTATCGGCCAATGTATGCTTGTCAATTTTTTCCCGTTTTTGCGACTTTTCAAATTCTTCCGCATACTGCAACAGCACATCCGAGGTTTCAGGAACATGACCTTCAATTTCTTCGCAATCCAATGCTCCTATTTCATTCTCCTCATAATCAGCGTACATCTGAAAAGTAGAGCATAATGATGAATTTGAGGATGTTTTATGTATAAAAAAAGACTTCCCATTAAAAAAGGATCGGTGTTTTGTATTTGATAAGGATCCGAGAGGTACAGTTCCAGTTAACTAGCACTCAGCGACTGACGTAAAGTGCAGAGCTGAGGATGTTATTTTCAATGTCAGATTATTCAGCAACTGAGCTAAATCATCATCAAAAGGGTGTTATTTAATTGATTTTGAATGTTTTCACGAAATTAGAACTTGTTTCAACTTTTGCCAAGTTAGACGTAAATTTCATGATGCCTTGTATTCCTTTCCATTATATTGAACAACTATTCAAGTATAGATTTTAGACTCTTAGACAGAACTACGGTATTCCGCAATATGGTTTTTGTTTATGAGATTCGCCTCAAAATCAAAACGACAAAACAGACAGGGTGTAATTTAGTAATTTAATTGATAGCTAAAAAATACAGAATATGATTCCTTAGCTCATATTAGGAAGAAAAGTTTATAGTTTATATGAACATATCTCCTAAACCTCTTAACTTTTGAGCTACAGGGGGGTAAAATTCAATTCTAAGAAAAATTTCGTTTCTTATCGTAACTTTAATACTCTTATGTAAGATATTTTCATGAAATTTGACATGCACCTACTAAGCACCAATAGGCATTTTTTGATGTAGAATATTTTTCAATATTTCTTCCAGTGACGTCCGTACTGTGTACTGAAGATTTAAAAAAAATGGTATGCCATTGCTTTTTAAAAAAAACTATTTTCAGAATCCTCATTTACTTTGCAATAAACTGACTTTTTTCCATTCGATGCACCGTTTTCGCGTAAAAAAATAAAAAACCATTTTCATGCATTCGGGTATAACAAAATAATTTTGAACTAGGAAGGAAGGAAATAACTCAACTATGCCAAGATGTACAAATTCCGAGTTAGCAGATATGCATTTTACCGGACTTGCTAATGGAAATGCGTTTATGGCTAGGCGGATATATCAAGAGCGGTATCCAAATCGTATCATTCCCGATGCCAGAATGTTTTCTATAATACACAGAAGACTACATGAAACTGAGAGTCTCAGCATTGCACACTGCATGGTGAGAACACCAGAATTAGAGAAAGATGTTTTAAACACACTTGAGGAACATCCAGAAATAGGCACTAGGATAATTACGGTAATGCTTAACGTTTCCCGTTTTCTTATTTGGAAAATACTTCTTGACAATTTACTATACCCCATATTCAAAGGGTACAAGCACTATTGCCGAGTGTTCTTAAAAAACTTTCTGAAAACTATTTGACATCAAAATACTCTCTACTGATGAAGCTACTTTTTCCCTCAATTCTATTCGAAATTTCCTTAATAATCATGTATGGACAGAAGAAAACCTTTACGCAATTACGGAGGTATATCATCAGGAGCAGTTTTTCGTCAATGTGTGGGCTGGAATTGTTGCAGATTTCCTCATAGGACCGTTCTTCCTTTCAGGACGACTGGATGGACTATCCTGTCGTCACTTTCTTGAAAACGTATTGCCAATTTTCCTCGAAGATGTACCTCTTTTATTATGAAATGTGGTACATGCATGATGGTGCTCCTGCACATTTTAGCATTCATGCTAGGGAATTTCTAATTAAAGCGTTTACGGATCGCTAGATAGGGCGTGGGGGACTTAACCTCTCAAGCTCCTACTATTTAAATAGTTTAGACTATTTTTTTGTGGGGGCACCTCATGACTATAGTTTATACTACACCGGTTCAAACTGAAGACGAACTAAGGCAGACAATTTGACTTTCTTGTCAAACTATAAGAAATGCTTCTGGAATTTTTGAAAGGGTTCGCCAATGCATGAGAAAGAGAATCGAAGCGTGTATTCTAGCAGGAGGACATTTTCAACAATTCTTGTGATAATTATAGCAATCATGCTAAATAAATCTTGAACAACCAAACAAAATGAAATTAAATTGTGTTAGTTTATTTGATCCACAGAAATTATCAAAACTTGTTATAAACATTTTTTTCTAATTTTCATTAATTGCAAAATCGCTAAAATCTCATGTGGTAGTTTGCAGTTTAGATGTATTTTGGTTTAATTTTTATTCAAGTAAAGTCAATTGATTAAATGGCCTAAATCGTTTTTATTTTTTACGCGAAAACGGGGCATCGAACGAAAAAAAGTCAAGAGGTCAAATTTGTTGCAAAATGAGGATTTGAAAAATGATTTGGCCAGTCGAAATTTGAGATTACGCCAGAAACCGTCGAAAAAGCGCGTGAATTTATCAAAGATAATCCAAAATCTTCACAAAGATACATAAAATTGGAAGTAAGCATCCCTAAAGATTCAATCCATCTCATTTTGACCAACAATTTGAGCATGAGAAAGGTGTGTTCACGGTTTGTTCCGATCAAGCTCAAAAATGGCCTCAAATTCAACATTCGAGAGACATCATTAAAGAGGACAAAAAGACAAAAACTTTCTGTACAACTGTGTTACTGGTGACAAAACGTGGTGTTTTCAATACGATCCGAAATCAAGCGTGAAAGTGCCGAATGGAAGCACCCAAGCGACCCAAATCCGAAAAAAAAGCCGTTTGGAAAACGTGAAGTGAAGACAATCTTGAAGATTTATTTCTACGATTCGAAGGGAATTATTCACAAAGAATTCGTTCCACCGGGCCAAACGGTTAATGCGGTGTTTTATGAGGCGTTTGCTGTCGCGTATTCGTCGTGTTCAGCAAGAATATCGCGAAGAAGGAAGCTGGCGCTTGTTGCACGGTAATGCACCATCTCATCGATCGACGCTCGAGTTAGATTTTTTGACAAAATTTTAATAAGTCTAGGAATTAGTGCAGAGGTTTCCTTGAATCGCGTTTGATGGTTATGGCTGATAGAAAGTAACAATTTTGGATTTTTTGTTAAATATATTATTGTATGATAAAAATAAATTTGCCGGCAGTCGAAAAACTGAGATTCATTGTATAGATTTTCTGAGGGATAACATTTCTTTTTGTTCAACATAACTTTTGAAACTTTCTGCGTAATTCCAATCTTTTTATAATAATTATTCATGACTCCCCCCATGCTAAGATTTCGTAAGATAGTAATGGGGGCATGATATATCATGTGCCGATATTTTTCGCTTAAAAAATTGCTGAAATATTTGACTTTCGGAATAAGGTATTTTAATTTTCTTACTAAATTTTCAATATGTTTATTCCATCTTAGATGGTTATCCATGAATACCCCTAGGTATTTGAAATTATCAACCGATTGTATGTGTGTACAGCTATTCAACGTTTTAATTTGGAGTTGATTAAAATTTGGGGAAGATCTGTTGTCGCAAGAAAATGTAATATGTTTTGTTGAAATTGACTGTTAAAAACCTTTCCGTGAAAAAATGTGTAACCTTTTGAAAATCTAATACAATTTTGTTTTTTAAAGAAGTCCAATCTTTGTCTGAGTAAATAATTGCCGTATCGTCTGCGAAACCAATAATTTTTCCATCGTTTTTTAATTTAAAAAGGTCATTAATATATAAATTAAACAGCATTGGTCCTAATACGGTTCCTTGTGGAACTCCGCATCTAACAATCATATTTTCACTCAGTGTACTGTTGATGTTCATACATTGTATCCTGTTTTCCAAATAACTTTTCATGAGTTGATAAGTGACTCCACGAAATCCTAAATTTTGCAAGGTTCTTAATAATTTTTGATGTGTAATACTATCGAATGAATTGGTTAGGTCTACAAAAAGGCATGCTGTTGATTTATTATTATCAACGTACTTGTAAGTTTTGGTTCTTAACTGAATAAGTGCATCTTGACTTGATTTTGCTTCCTGGAATCTACATATATTGCTCTTCAGATATGCAGTTGTATTTTGCAATAAAGAATTTTTGAAAAGTTTGTCAATACTGAAATTGGGCGATAATTACAAGGTTTCTGTTTATCTCCAAATTTAAATACAGGTTTTATTATTGCCTTTTTTAATTAGGTCGGGAACATTCCTCTTTCCATGCAGGTGTTTATAAGATATGCTAATACTTTAGAAATTTTATAATTTATTTGTATCTGAGTGTATGCGCTTATATTATCAAATCCCGGTGATTTCTTAACTTTCAGTCGCTTTATGATATGTTCAATCTCGTATTGATTGGTCTGTGTCAGATACGGGGAATTTCGCAATATAGTTTTCGTATATATAAGTTGTTTCATTTGAAATGTCTTTTGCCAGATTCTCACCAATTTCAGAAAAATATTTACAAAATTCCTTGCCTGTTTCATTATCGCTTTTTGTAAGTCCCTCATTTTATTTTTGTACAGCAGGAATTTCTTGGCATTTTTGAGAATGTTGCATTTTTTCTATGAAATGACACATTTTGGCTGAAGAATTTTGAAGTCTGTCAACTTCATTTTTAAAAAATTTTAATTTAGCCTCTTTTATAATTGTGGTTAATTTATTTCTGTATAATTTAAATTCATTTAGAAGTTCTAAATGTGGAAATTGTTTTGTTTCTCTACATAGCTTAATTTTTCTGTTAACGGATGTTATAATTCCATTCGATATCCATGGCTATCTTTTAATATACTTTCATGGAATCTTTATCCGATTTGTACATGAATTCATATGTTGTTGAAGCTGTAAGGTAAAAAGATCAAATGCCTTTTCAAGATCATCTTGATTATATATCTCTGACCAGTTTTCATCAGATAGTTTACAGTTCAACTTATTATAATCTATGTATTGTTTTCATGCTAGACTGCGTTCTTTTTAATTTAGGAACTGTGTCTTCATATTGATTAGCATGGTGGGGAAGTAATCCGAAATTGTATATCTCAAAACCGCTTAGAAGTTCTCACTATTTATGGAGGTATTTATGAACATATGGTCTATACAACTCGTACTATCTCCATCAACTCTTGTTACTTCATTAATGGCGGATCGGTATCCCTGTCCTGCCATCATGTTAAGGTATTCGAGGGATTTTTGATATATATATATATATAAAAGTTTTGCCGATTTCCCAACTAACAAGTAATTGTATTTTGTACCCAACTAGTCGTTGGCTTTGGCAATGACTACTTCTCACGTATATATATATAGAAGGTGTCATGTTGATTCTGTCTATAATCCTTACAAGGTCAGTTTCAAGCAAGTTGATTTTCATATGTTCATGTAGGAATAGATCTGGCACAAGTGACTTGAGAATTCAGAAATAACTACAAAACACTGTACAGATCGTTATTAAGTGAAGCAAAAAAGCTTTACCACCGAGATCTGATTATAAATTTTAACAATAAATCATGAACCGGTTAGAAAATCGCCAAGTCTGATAGAAATATAGAACGTAAGCAGTTAAGTCTGAATAATAATTTGATCACAGACTCTAGTGCAATTGCTGATAAATTCAACAATCACTTCGCAGAGGTCCGAAAAACCTTAGAGGAAATAATATACACAAGCTTGTTCCTTTGAATGTAAATAGTCTGCAGAGCTTCTTTTTTCGTCCGGCCACAGAACAAGACATCTCAAGCATAATAACAAATTTGAAAAGATTGGATTCTACTGGAGATGATGCTTACTTACAGTACCAGTTTACTGAAGAAATGTTATATAATGCCCATTAATCATTGCAAGATTATAAGGTAAATTCTCGCTATCTTCATAAACTTTTTGATAAAATATCCATAGCCGACACTTTATTGGGTTTTAGGAACTTTGAAGCGCTAACGTACCTTCCATAATAATCGGAGGATGATATACATCAATAAACAGTTTCATAAAGGTTCCTAGATTTGATAGGCAGTATTTTAATAACTCTCGAACCACCTTTCTTGTCTTGGTTACTAAATGAGATTCATTGGTTACTTCTGTGGACAGCTGTCACTGATTTCCTCCCAGAGGTGACGGCATTTTCTAATTTATACCCAACTGATCTAACAATTCAATGACCTCCAGGTACCCTTTATTTAATACACGTATGTTGCCCAGTTTTTTGTTTTGAATAAAAAGTCGGCGAATCCAGACACTTTCTTTCTGGTTAAAAAAATTTTGGAATGTAAATATTCAATAATCTCTGTAGATTTCCAAATGCATTAAAAGTAAGACATAAACTGAACCAATGAAAAGCTACCTGTCCTAAGTTTCCTGAATTCTTGAGTAATTCATGCGAGATGTATATATTACACCATAAACATATAAATAACACCTTTTAGAGAACTTAGTCACAATCAACCTGATGCCTCCCAACACCTTCCTACAAGATGTTTTGACAAAATATTGATGTTAGTATACTGATGCTCCATGTTTTTTGCAAATCTGGCTGCGTTTATCCATATATTTCTCAGAAAACAATCATAGGATGGCTTTGGTCCCATGGACACTTTTGTTCGGGTAGGCAAGAAATATACTGAATTTTTAGAAAAATTGACTGGAACCTATTTTCCATGTTTTGTGCCTGGTCCAAAATCTCTTTTTCCCCAAAACACCCAAAATGACGTCATGTATCTTATTACTCCTATATCTAGATTTGTTAACCTTCCATACCTTCTCAAACCTATCATCTAGCAAACTTAGCTGATCATTTCTCCTTATAACTGAACTTGTCATAGAATAATTTGTAAATCTTGACTTGACTTCTTCTGACTCAAAGGATTTCTGAGAGTCTGCTTCATCCATTTCCTCATCATCAAAATTTGAATCTAGTTCATTTTCGTCATTTTCATCAAATTCTCCATCAGATGCTACTCCATTTGCCAATTCTATGAAATTGTCTTCCAACTGGTTTTCTGGATCGTTATAGTCAAAATCATCATCCATAGCCGCAACCAGGTCTGGGTCTAAGTGCAGCTGCAGGCCTAATTGAGAAAAACACCTTTTTTATTAATAATAACACTGGACAACAAATTTTAGTTTTTTAATTGTATCTTGTGGGAAAAGTGCACTTCTTTGTTAATTTTGGGGCGCTGAATCCAAAAATCACAATGAAATAAAAAAATTAGTTGCGGTTTGGAATAAAAACTTTTTATTTTTAAGGATATATTAAAAAAAGTAACAAGATTCATATACTTATAAGAATCACTATATGCGCTGTCTTTTTGCTGTTCTTTCATAGATCGTTTCTGGAGCATCTCTACCAAGAGTCCAACAGTAGTCTGCAAGCATGGAAGGATTCCACTTTCCCTGGTACCTTTTTTCCATTGTTGAAATATCCTGGTGAAAACGTTCGCCGTGCTCATCACTTACGACTCCGCAATTGTCAGGAAAAAAGTCCAGGTGTGAGTGTAGGAAATGTATCTTAAGAGACATATTACAGCCCATCTTTTGATACGATGACAGCATATTTTTGACAAGGGTTTTATAGTTGTCAGCTTTTCTATTTCCCAAGAAATTAGTGACCACCAGACGGAAATCATTCCAAGCAGTTTTTTCAATACCTGTTAAAGTGTTTACAAACTGTGTCTCTTTCAAAGTATTTCGAATCTGTGGCCCAACAAAAATACCTTCTTTAACCTTTGCCTCACTTAGTCTTGGAAATTTCTGACGCAGGTATTGAAAAGCTGACCCATCTCTATCTAATGCCTTGACAAAGTTTTTCATTAGGCCCAACTTGATATGCAGTGGTGGTAATAAAAATGTTTTCGAATCTACTAATGACATATGCTGTACATTTTTTGACCTGGCTCCAGGAATTGACGAACAGGCCAGTTTTGTCTGGTGTAATTAAGTGCCTTTGCCTGACTGTCCCATTCACACAAAAAACAGCAAAACTTTGTGTAGCCTAGCTGCAGCCCAAGTAAAAGTGCAACAACTTTCAAATCGCCACAAATATGCCCTTGGTGCTCATCGTATTTTATGCATGTCAATAGGTACTTCATATTGTCATATGATTCTTTCATGTGAACTGCATACCCTACAGGAAGAGATGGTAAAATATTTCCAATATGCAATAACACTGCCTTTAAACTCAATGTTGAACTGTCTATAAACAATCTCCATTCTTCTGGGTTATAGTTTATATTTAAAGCCGCCAGTAAACCGTTAATGTTACTGCAGAAAACCAAGTTATTCTCCATATTGAAAAGTGGTTCTAAGTCTTTGTGGCGTTTACGAAAAACACATACCGAAACATCGTCTTCTAAGTTCCACTGCTGCAGTCTTGATCCAAGTAACTCTGCCTTACATTTTGGAAGTTCTAAATCTCTTACAAGATCATTTAATTCTGACTGTGTTATTTTGTGCGGTTGGTGGCATGACGTGCTCGGTATAAAATCAGGATCTCTTGACGTTGATGGCATATCTTGTTCCTGACGAATCACTCGATCGCCATGATCTGATTCGTTTTCTGATTCGCAAGTGTAGGATTCTGGGGGTTTTGGAATAGGATTTTCGTCACTGTGAGGCACAGGTCTCATCGCAGATGGTATGTTTGGTTAGTTAATAACCGATTTTTTTTTCTTGGACATACCTGTGGCTTGTCCAACACAAGGTACCATGCAAAAGTAACAATCATTAATATGATTTGTAGGCTCTCTCCAAACCATTGGGACAGCAAAGCGCATAGACCGTTTTTTGCCATTTAACCAGCTCCTCAAACTTGAAGCACATGTATTACAGCAGATGTGGGGTGCCCACTGTTTGTCTTGATCACCTAGTTTACAACCGAAATAAAGCTGATATGCCTTTGTTATTAGTGGAGTAATAGACCGTCTCTGACACGCAAAAGTCACATCACCACACACGTAACAAAACTGATCTGGATTGTTTACACACTTTCGAGCCATCTTGCATGAACGCTGTCAGCCAACTGAGGAAAAAATGGCTAATATAAAACAATATAATGTACACGTATGTATAACGTAACACAATCATGCCGATTACATCATCTTTCCTTGCCGAATATAAAAATGTAGCACGTGCATTCTTGTGAATTACAGTATATAAACACTGTCACAGCAGGAACACATATAATTACCGTACTCTAAAACTTGAACTAATATTGAATAAATAAGTTTCATTCCGGTTTTAGCACATTACAAATAGTAATATTTTGTTGATTTTATTTAGGATATTTTTTGGCTGTTGATCAGTGTAATATTTATTTACTCTAAAGTACAGGGAACATGAAACGAGTAAATAAATATAATATATCCATAGGAGGACAACGCCTGTGCATGAATCATATGTATGTTGAATTGCAAAAGATAAAAAAAATTGAGAGAAAAAAAGTATTGGTAAGAATGATAGAGCATTTACTGTGAAATATTTGAGATAATCATAATATATCTTTATTTCAAAATAACAGTGCATGATTACAATGTATTACACACTGTTAGGTGAAATATACATCACAGTGTCATCGAGACAGAAAAAACAAAGGGGCAAAACATATAACATAATAGAGATTTTACATTTCAAAATATTCTTGAAGGTCATATGGTTCTAAGTGCATTAACAAATGATAAATACTCTTTTTATATTCCCTCACATATCTGCCAATCTTTTAATTTCATCTTGTGGTAACTTATTATATATTTTAGTGCAGCTGTAATGGACATTTTTTTCGGTAACCGTGAGATATGGATTGGATACAGAAGATTTATATTTCTATTTCTTGTGTTATAGTCACTTCGTAGGTCGCCGATAAAATTGTCAATATTTTTAAATGTAATAATTAGAATCTCTTGAATATATATTACGGCTACAGTTAAAATTTTATTACTCTTTAATTTTCCTCTGCAAGTCTCTCTAGAGGAAATTTTTAGGATGCACCTCAGCACTATCTTTCGCACTAGAAAGATGATATTGGTATGGCTACTATGTCCGAAAAAAATTATTCCAAAACGTACAATGGACTCAAAATTCGCGTAAAATACCATTTTTAGAGTCTTGAGGTCTAGGTACTTGCTTAGTACTGTGATAATAGAACATTCATTGTTTAACCTTTTTTCTAGATGTTCTATATGTTTAGCCCAGGAAAGTGCTTGGTCAATATGAACTCCCAAGAATTTTCCACAGTCTGTCAGAGGGATTTGTATTCTTTCTGCTAAGGTAATGTTTGTAGGTTCGATTTTTTTTCTTAACTTAAAATTAGATTATTCTATCAATGTGATTTCTCCCAATCGTGTTAATACATTTTTTTATTTTTTTTTTTTTGAAACCTAATGTATTGCGTAATTGTTTTAAATTATTTCGTAAATGTTCGTACAATTTTGAGGCTAAATACAGGTGACATCGTTTCATTAAACATTTGTTTGGTTTAGGAACATTTTTTGCGCGTAATTTGTATCTGGTGTTATGACTATGTTTAATTATGTCGCGTTCACTAATCATTTTGTGATAATGGGTGATGGTATGTAAGAAGTAAAGTTGTTTAGTATCATATACTTGTGCATCACTATATAAGTCATTAGATGGGTATAATTTTGATTTTCCAAACATTGATTTTAAAATTGTTCTTTGAAGCACATCTAAATCGTTAAGGTATGTCGTGCACGCAGCACCCGATACTACTATACCATATGTTATGTGCGGCTCCACTAAAGCTTGATATATTATTCAGTTAATATACTGGTTAGAAATTGTATTTTATATGTTATGAATCTAATTTTCTTTAGTATGTAAGAAATATGTATATCCCATCTCAAGTGGGGATCTAGATCAATTCCTGAATATTTTGTATCATTAACTCTATTAATTTTTAGATTTTTATCATTTACCTTAAAGTGATGGTGGTTATATTTTGGTAGATGATTAGATAGTGATTAAAATGGTAAAAAATGAGTTTAATAAAGTTAATTATTAATTTTCGGTTATTAAACCACTGAATAATTTTGCAAAAGTCATTTTGGATAACATCTTTTAGGTCGTTCCAATCCTTATCTTTATAGAGTATAGCAGTGTCGTCCGCAATACTGACTATTTTACCAGTACTATTAATTTTGAATATATCATTTAAATAAATATTGAATAACAGAGGACCCAAAATTGTACCTTGTGGTACACCACATTTAACAAACATTTCTCTACTATATGAGTTTACTAATTTTACTGATTGCGGTCTATTTGATAAATAACTCTCCATTGCACATTTTTATGAATGTAAGTTTTTGTGACTTGCTTGCTGAAAACTAATTTTCTCTATAGTCATCTAAATTGGTGGACAGTTGCTTTGCAACATGGAAAATTCTACCCAAATTCAAATCTCTCTCTCGATATCTTTTTCCGTTCCGAAAATATCGAGTTGCGCTATTCGGGAGGTTCTTGACCAACTCTTTGAGAGCCCATACAGTGTTCGACTGGTATATTTCTTTTATTTATCCACTTATACAGGGTGAGCAGAGGAAGTCCGCTTTTCTACAAAAATTTGGTTTTTCAATTTTTGATCATGTAAATTTTTCTATGCAACTTTTTGATCTTTGGACTATCTAAAAAAAAGTAATATCTCAAATTTTTCGAATGTTGGCTATACGTCAAATTATCGAATTTTTAACTTCCCGCAATGCATGTCTTTCCACTCGACCTTGCAAATAGGACATTTCTCCGGTTCCATCCTAACTACCTACACCTCAAATATGCAATTGCTAAGTAACAATAATATTGACTGTAGGTACCAATGGGCATAGGAGCGAGTAAATTGGCATCAGCAACGGCAAAATTGCATGTTTTCCAATGAAACACACTTCAACCTATACCACTTGGATGATAAGGTCCTTGTTTGGAGGTAAGCTGGGGAACAATATGATGAAGAAAACATGGAAAAAATCCTGTTTTTTCGACTGATTAGCACTTCTTACTAAACCAAAAAATGTTTTTGGTACTACACCACTGGAATATACCCCTATGGTAAGAGTCATAACTTGGATTTGTTTATTAAGCTGTTAATTGCATAGTAAAATTTATAAATTCAGCTTAAGTTACATAATGTCCAAGTAGCAAATTTTTACTGCACGCAAATGAAGGCAATAACATTCAAGGAGTGCTTCAATCCTTTCTTGGGCACAAGAAATTCTACTGTATCCAACAGTATGAGAAAAAATACCCATTCTCAAGAGAGATCCCAAAAAAGTCCCTTTGTTAGGGATAAATGTAACACTGTTTTAAAGTTCAATATTTTGAGTTATAGCCAACTTTCGAAATATTTGAGATATCACTTTCTTTAAGATAGTCCAAAGATCAAAGCGATGCATAGAAAAATTTACAAGATCAAAAATTGAGAATCTGACATAGCCCCAAACTTTGGTTAAAAAAAAGCTGACTTCATTTGCTAAGCCTGTGTAAGTGGATAAATGAAAGAAATATAACAGTTGAACCCTGTATGTGTTCTCAGACAGTTGATCAAGAGTCTATTGAATATTGCAACCAGATATCTCTTTCCATTCGGAAAATATCAATTTGAATGAAATGCTTTCATGACCATCATCCAATGTAATTTGGTTGGTTTTTGGGTCGTTGGGCCATTGTAGAATATTTTTATTTGACATTTCGTCAACACAAGTGGTTGGCATCTTCAGAAGATGTTCACAGTTCGGAGTCCTGTGAGCAGTAGCTAGCAAAATATTCTATAACAGCCTAACTACCCAAAAACCAACCAAATAACATCAAGATTTGAATTCCACCAGTTTATATGTGGTTTCATTAGCCAGATGCAAGGATAACTAAATGTTTTTTTGATGATTTTAACTTTCTAATTGCCTCAAGGTATAGAATTTTTTTTTGATGAACTCTACTAAACAAATTTGAAACTGAATAGTATCTCTTAAATAAAAAATTCTTCTTCTTCTCAATATTTTTTGAATGTACTAGATATTCTGGTGTACAAAAACTAGATGATGCGCCCCGCAACTCAAAGGAGAAGGAAAACATGTATTTTCATTAATTTTTCTTGTTTCTGCAATATGACATCGCAGTATATACAGGATTCATTCTATTCTGGTATTTATACCCTTTAAAACCTAGATATCAACAATATTCTGCAAGTAACCCATTTGCGAGTATTAATCAAATTCCCATCATTTACAGCCTAAACCTAGTGTCTATTTGGACAGAGAACCAAATAAAGCTGGCGTAGCTAAGCTAGAGAATTACCGCTACTACTACCAAGGTTGTATTCTCACCTTTTGTTGGTGGTGCTTTCGCCAACATGCCTACATTATCCTCGACTTCTGAAGCGAAAACAGTACTAGGCAACTTGAGCTTAGCATTTGCAATTCTTTTTGATAACTCATCTTCAACATGTCCAGGCCACTCTAATGTATTGTCTCTTGTATCTTTCAAGTAATCTAAGTAATTGCAGTCATCATCATAATAGATTCCATACTTGTGTTGTTCATCAATCCGATTTTCTTTATCTTTCCGAGTTTCTTTGGCTTCTATGGGCACAAGAACTCTTTGGGGGGCATCTTCGTCGGCGATTAAAGGGTCCTGTTGACTTCGATGGACCAATTGGAAGGTGACCGCTTTCTTTTTGTCGATCTTCTTCAGTTTCGGCTAAAATGTACAGAGTTATAAAAACTGCAGTAATAATGAACCAAATACTCACCATTATCAAATCGTTTTAGCTGTTTGTACGAAATTACAAACTAGGGGTATGAAAAGGTAAACACGTGTTCTGCTACAGGGATTAGGAAAAATGATAAAAGAAAATAAACATTACAGATGACAGTTACCCTGAACAGTTAACTTGACATTTGACATCTGACGGCTTATACCTGAGCCGCTTTCCATCGCCTCATTTGTTACTCGGAGCCCACCACCTGTCAGTACCGTTCCAGTGCTCTAGAGCAGTGGTCGCCAACCCGTTGATCGCAAAGGCAATTCTGGTGGCTCACAACATATTTTAAAAAGGTGTAAAAATCGGCGCGGCGACAGTGCGCTCAGTTTATGAGCAGTAGTAAGAAGTTGAAGACATACCATTTCCATTCAGAATGGGAAGAACAATATTTCTTTATAGAAGTAAAGGTAAAAATGTATGTTATGTAATAGATCTGTGTCCGTTGCTTAAAAAGGGAATATCGAGAGGCACTATAAAATTGTACATTCGAATTTTGGAAAATCATTCCCATTACATTTTGCAACCAGAACGGAAAAAATGAAACAATTAAAAAATCAGTTAATTGGACAACAGATAATGTTTTTAGAAACAATAAAAAAAAAGTAAGGCTTCATGGAGCATCATACCAGGTGTCCCAGATAATTACACAAAAGAAGAAACCTTATGAAGACGGGGAAATGATAAAACAGGCGTTTTTAGAAGCTGCAGATTCATTATTTACCAACTTAAGAAATAAAGACAAGATAGTGTCTGCTATAAAATCTATGCAACTTTCTGCTAATACAGTGATGACACGAGTAGAAGTAATGAGCAATGATATAGTTTTACAATTAAGACATGACTTCGATAACTGTGCTTATTTTTCACTGCAGCTGGATGAATCCTCAGATGTCGTTGACACCTCCCAGATGGCCGTGTTCGTCAGGGTAGTTTTTAGTGATTTTACGATTAAAGAAGATCTTTTAAAGTTTATCCAACTAAAAGGACAGACTACTGGGCAGGACTTGTTTTCTTCTTTTAAAAATATCATTTCTTCTGAGAAAATTCCAATATCGAAAATGATAGACTTGTCAACCGATGGTGCTCCAGCTATGGTGGGTTGTGATAAGGGTCTCATGGGGTTATGTCGTGAAGATGAAAGTTTTCCGCAATTTGTCTGCTACCACTGCATTATACATCACCAAACATTATGTGGACATTTTCTAAAACTAAACAACATTATAAAATTGGTAGTAAAAATTGTGAACAAGATGCTCAAGCATTACAAAGATTATTTAATGAAATTGACTGTCAATACGGGGAACTACTTCTTCATTCTGAAGTCCGATGGTTAAGTAGAGGACGAGTGCTGAAACGTTTTAATGATATCATATCTGCAGCTTCAGGGGTGAGACAAAGAACTAGCAGAAATGATTTCTGATATAAAAGCGTTTATCAAAAAGCTTGAGTTTTGGGAACAAAACTTAATCGATGGCGATACCTGGCATTTTAGATATCATGTAGAAGTAGTCTCTAACTTAAAGGATTTTAATGAAATTGCTATAGTGGCGCAATGTGTCGTTTCACCCTTAATGGAAATTGATATCCAACAGTTTGCAACTTCTGTTACGCAGAATTTTAGCGAAGACATCGCTACGACAGAAATGGAAGTGATTGCGCTTCACAATAATTCAGACTTAAAATCATTAGTCTCAAATACAAAATGAATATGGCCTTCAGTAAGTAAAGATAGATATTCAGTTTTATGTCGTGTTGCCTTGAAAGTGAAAGCGTTATTCAGTTCTACCTATTTGTGTGAATCTTCTTTTCCAAATATGAAGTTTATTAAAACAAACACCGTAATTGACTTACATATGAGCATTTGGATAATTGTATTCGAATCGCGGTATCAAATTATACTCCAAACATTAAAAAAAGTTTCAGTGAGTCTGATGGTCAGGCTTCTCATTGAACACGCATTGTTATCTGGACGTGCTTTTGTTTAAAATAGTGCGTTGCTTTTTTTATTTTTAGTTACCTTTATCAAATCGTATGTGACATGCCATTGTAGCTGACGAAAAATTTTGTTTATTTTTCAAACACCTACGATTGGTAGTATACAACTGTGTATAATTTCATTTAAGTTGGCTCACATTGCTTACGACTAGGTAGCTCATTGTTTTCCAAAATTATCAAAGTAGTCCAATACACTGAAAAGGTGGCGACCACTGCTCTAGAGTCTAGAGTGCCATGCACCTGAGCTACTCATTTTTTAAATCCTCAGCCCTCTCATACCCAGATTTTTATTAAGTGTGGTATGCTCCTAAATAGTGGGGATAACGAAAATGACAATGTGTCAAGTTTATGTTTTTCGTCGTTTCTTTTTTTTTGCATTAAACTCACATTAAACCGATACCAGACCATGCAGGACGGTGAAAAACTGATAATGTAATGACCCAGAGTCACAACGTACATTTCAGATGTTCCTGTTCCTGAAATAATAAACGTCATAAGAAAGTGCAAGAATGCAAGTTCATAGCAGCTTGTAGTTGGCTTTATCTACATATAACTAGACACATCTAAAATAATTTTGAATATCTACACTAAAATATGAATTCGACACCTTTATCCAGAAGCTTGACAATAAAAATGTAGACCTCTGAAGTGTTGCGCCACCATTCTAAAATCATCATTAGGCATCAATTAGATACTCTGACCATGCTTCTCAAAATAAAGGCAAAATGTGTTTATATTCTCATTGTTAGACAGTGTGATACAAATTGTCAACGTCATAGCAAATCATCAAAAAACAGTTTAGGTTTTTACCGTCGCGTTTCCGTGCCTATTTGCTATAATAGAGCAGTTCGGGAGCGTCACACTCCGGATGCATACTACTGTCAATTCAAAAGCATTGGAAAGCGGCTCTGATGCAATATGGCGGCGACTTCGTAGTCAACTTTGAATTGTCGTTCTTTTGGTGTTTCCGTGTCAGTCTTGTGTGTTGTGTGCTTTCCTTTTATGTTTTGTGGAATGTGGAGGTTATGTTTGGAAATGTTCGGTCCGCAATTCCCGCGAATCGTAAATTTGTAATATATCTTTTTATGTTCCTTTTTTCATTATTTTTCCGGGATTAGTTTTATAATAACATGAGCTGTTGCACGTATGTATAATTTAATAATAGTGGCGTAAAGTATTGTTCATTTGATTTAAAAATGAATATAATTTACATTTTTGTAGACCGAATTCAAGCTTTCTGCCCGGGAAGCAATCGCCAGTTTTGGAGAGAACCTTGCTTGTAAATAAAAGGCGTATTATTCGTAGGAGTTTGATATGGGCATCAATGAATTTTATTCTATTGTGCTTAGTCTTGTATGATTTGTAAGTATTATTCCTTTTATCTCTTTAATGCTCACTTGATTCTAAAAAGCTCGAGATACAAAATCTAAGCAAAATTTGCCTGTTATTATGTGTCCAGGCATCTGTGTCCCACTGACACAGCATAAATAAAATAAAGTTTTGAAGTAGCCCAATATTTAGATTAATGCTAAGTTACATGGCAAAGGAGTAACCCAGGTGGTGATAAGTCCTACTTTCTTCCCTTCCATTTTGTCTCATGTGTCTAGTCTGCTGGATGCCTTTCTGACCACACATTTTGTCACTTACACTGCTACTATTCTGCCTTCACTCAATAACTCTGACCACAATGCTGTTGAGCTCAAATATCTATCAGAACTGGCAAAGATGAGTAATCCTTAGGTATAAGACCTCAAAACAGGTACACTCAATATCAAAGCTTCTGGTGCTGACTTGATTCCTGCTACAATGTACTGAAGAGGTGTGCAGCATGTTACGAATCTGGTACTTTCCTAGGGAATTGGAAATTTTGTCATATTCAGCCCATTCAATAAAAGAATATAAGACTGATCCTTTCAACTACTTACAGTCCCATTTACTTCTACTTTATTCATGCTAATACAAAAAATTGCTTATAGTGGTCATAACACAGGAGAAAAAAAACTCATAGCATGAATGCTAGTTACATAGAACAGCACACTTAAAAGTTTAGAACTATCACAAAATCAGTATTTAGAATGTCACCAATTTACAGATGCAAGGAAGTAAGAAGAAGTAAGCCTTACATCACTGCAACCCAAGTGGATCTATCTATCTCTTTGAGATTATTCAGGCAATCCCATACTAGCTTAGATGATATTTGCGATGAACCAGTAGCTTATGGCATGTATGGGAGGCACTTTCTCCCACAGCTTCCTTTCTGGTACTATTGTTTGCTAGTTTTTATTGAAATTGTACACTGGAACAGTTGTGAGAACCCCAGACCATATTGGCACCTTCTCATTCGCCAATATATAGGGATCAAATTTCCCTTATTTCTGGTATTATATTCACGAACATCTTTGAAGGTTTGTTGTACATCTCCTTTCATCTAAGCAAATAACAAGCACTGATACATATACAGACTTGGCACAGTCAACAGCTTCCATTCAATAAACACATGCTTGCAGTCATCTCTGCATTCCAGCATAACGGACCTCCTCTGCCCCCAAAACACTCTGGATGCCTCAGCAGAGTGACCCCATTCAATAATTGCAATTGCGACTGGAATAGTGTGAGGTAACAAATATGGTGTATATTTGGTGATACTTCTCACTATAAGTTGCAGAGGACCTGAATATTCTGAGAGAGTTTTATGGATAGAACATCAATGTGGCTGTTCAGAAAAATTATTTTAAAAAAATAAAAAATAAGAATGGCGTCAAGTAGGTTGACTCTACACTTCCCACACAACGGTGTCATCAGTTCTTAAAGGATTAAAGATTATTTTCAGCACAAGTTAGACTTTCTAAGTAAATTTTTATTTATTACGGAAAACATAATCGCTCAAACTTCGTATTTTGACGTATCAGAAGATATTGGTCATTTCCGCAAAATTTTTTGTAGGGGTAAAAAATTAGGGGTTAGGGATTGCAGGACGAGGGAGAAGGGTATATCTCGAGCATTATGAGGATGAAATAAATTTGTTTTTCTTTTCAGGTCTTATGCTTGTCCTTTGTATGTAAACTATTATCATTATGCAGAGTATGGCCTTGTGGTTATTTTAATGGCAAATATTTTCTACCATATTACTAATTTTGTGAGGTATTCATATGGAAATTCAGATCCAGCAATTACCACCCCTGAACAGAAAAGTTTCCTAGGCATAAAAGATTCAGGTATGTTCATTTTTGACATAAATTTATTACTGTCACCATTTGATAACAAGTAACTTTCTTCTAAGATATGTATCTTTGTATATATCTGTATTCAAAGTTCCATTTCATAAGGGATACGCTCGCGTAACAGACGGTTTGCGTCTCAAACTCGCTCTTTACGCGTTATTACGTGATTACCGTGAATTTCAAAATTTAGGCGCTAAAGGACCAGGCACAAAACATGAAAAATGGGTCCCACTTGATTTAACTAAATATTCAGTATGATATATTTCTTGCCTTCTTCCCCAACAAAAATTGACCATGGAACCAAAGCAATATTATGATTAGTTTCTGAGAAATCGGAGGACAAAGTTTGTCTGATTTGCAAAAATGATGTATGTGGCAATTGTAGTTCTCAGACCAAAAACTCAGCAGAATCAGCATACTAAAAGAAATACTTCATTAAAACACCTAGAAGAAAGGCGTTGGGAGGTATCATGTTGATCATGACCATCATCCTTACATGGTCAGTTTCAGGGCATTTTGATTTTTATATGTTTATGCTGGAATAGGTCTAGTACCAGTTGCTCGAGAATTGAGGAAACTTAAAGGACAGGTAGATTTTCAGTGGCGCAGTTTATATCTCACTTTTAATGCATTTGAAAATCTACAAAGATTATCGATTGTTAAAACAAAAAAATGTTAAAACAGACCCATACTACAGATGATTCTTTTTGGTCAGTTTATTAATGGTCCATGCGCTATTCCAAGTCCTTTGTTACAAAACTTCTATAGAAAGTGCCTAGATTCGCCGGTGAAAACAACTTTTTAAATCGATAATTCTAAATTTTTCAAGTGGGAGATAGAGGATACCTTGATGTCAGTATATTGGTAGATCAGTTGAGTATAAATTAAAAAATGCCTTTCCTCTGGGAGGAAATCAATGACTGTTGTCCACAAAAGTTGCCAATGAATCTAATTTAGTTACCAAGACAAGATGTGTAGTGCGAGAGTTATTCAAATACTGCATGAACTAAATCTAGGAATATTTATGAAATAGCTCATGCTCTTATTGATAAGAACCATCCTCCGGTTATTATGGAAGGTACGTTATCGCATCAGGGTTTTTAAAACCCAAAAAGTGCTGACTATGGATATTTTATCAAAAAGTTTATGAAGGTAACGAGGATTTACCTTATAATCGTTCAATGATTAATAGTCATCGCTGTAGATGTACATCTGGTGTCCGAACCATAGCAATATGTGGTTTTTTGACATGCTCTGCTCACTGGAGTTTGGTTATCCTTTGAAAAAGTTAACTCAAGACATTCGATATGCCAAAGGCAGACCAAAACAAGAAAACTCAAATTAAGTCAATAAAATGTGAAGCTACGTTCACATAAGTGCACTTTTTCTTCCTCTTCCACCTTCATAATCAACATGACCTTAATTTGGCCTTGTAAAGGTTATAATCAAAGACGAGGAAACAACCACGACTTTGTGCCCTTGAAAAGCTACCTGTTCTGTTGAGTTTTCTGAATTCTCGAGCAACTCATGCCAGATCTGTTCCAGCATAAAAATCAACTTGCCTTGAAAGTGACCTTGTAAGGATCATGCTATACTGATTCTCAGAGTTTTTGGTATGAGAACTACAATCGGCACATTCACCATTTTTGCAAACCATCCGCTTATTTCTTAGAAACTAGTCATAGGATTGCTTTGGTTCCATGGACACTTTTATTCGGGAAGGCAAGAAATATACTGAATTTTCAGACTAATCGACTGGGACCCATTTTCCATAAATATGTTTTGTGCCTGGTCCTTTTAGGTTTCAATTTTGATGGGCAAGATTTGCTACTTTTCAATCACTAAAAATATACTTTCTGGAGCAAAACTATTGTTATCCCGTGGATTTATTTTTTTAATACCTCACATTGTAATACATGGGTTACGCATATTATACATTAAGAATAATATTGCCTTTACAGGGTGACTTTGAAGTTGAGTCATTAATTTTCAGATAATGATTGTAGAAGGAAGATAAACCAGAATATGTGTGTAAAAATTAACCTTACCTTGTTTTATAAAGTATCCTCCCGACAAGTATTTCAGTGCGGACCTGTATTTGATCGTGCGGTCTTGGTGCACCGGCATGCCCTCCCCTGTGAGGCCTTAAGTCACCTGATTCACGAGCCCTTTGTACTACATTAACAAAGGCACGAGGGTTTGGTTGCACTCGATTGGGAAACCGATCCGCATAAATCCGTGATGCCGCGGCACAGCATTTTGTAAAGACGTAAATAAGAATCATGTCCACAAGTTCAGCATTTTCGTAAACATGTGCCATTTTTTATTTCGTTTGAGCCACGCAACAAACACCACTATTCACTCACGCTTTACCGACTGACACATTGACTGAATACAACTGAATAAAATTGTAGTAAAAACGTCGTGATAGCGTTTCAAATTCTTTCGCTTTTTTGTTTCCGATGCGATGAACCGATAAGGCGGATTATATCCGTTGTTGCCAAACACGAGCACATAATATTATTATTGAGACAGGGCGGTACTCAAACTTCTAAAGGGCTATAACTTTGTTACTTTAATTTTACCACAAAAATGTTAAAGGAAAAAACATTTCTTTTGATCAGATCTACTCACTGTTAAAATAAATGACTCAACTTCGAAGTCACATAATTTATACCGAAACTTATTTTTCTAGATCTAAACTACAAGGTTCTAGATACACCTAGATCACCAAACAATCCTAACTATTATAGTACTCCAATGAATATGAGTGCCCTCAGCTGGATGTCTCAAAGTGATAGTGAGTAAAAATTCATTTATCTGATATTGAACAGGTGAAGTATTTGTACGTTTTGTGTGTCTACTCCAACTGAGCGGGGCAGTGGCAAATGCTTGTTCCGGAAGTTGTCGTACCCAGTATACAAGTCCGCCAACGGGCCACTTTAGGTCTATTCAACATCATTAACACCCAAAAAGAAGGTGGTAGACAAGGACCAGTCGACCGAGGCGGTACCACCCGCTGGCTTATAAATATCCGCATGTTTCCCTAAGCTACGTAGTCGGTTATCTTCCCCAACAAAGAAATTAATGATGATAGACCCCTCGAGTACTAAGAATTGCGGACGTAAACTCACTTTACTCTCGGACTGTCCTGGTGGAGGGTGGACTCGAGAGAACAACATCGAAGATAAAATTTGCTTCACTAACATCTGCGGGATTACCAGCAACATTGATGCTGTTCATCGCTATCTGCAATCCAATCGCCCGCCATGCTTTTCAAAGACAAAAATCTCAGTCTGCACCGATTAATCATCTTAGCTTCCCAAATTACGAGGTGCACTCCAATCTGAGAAAGAACGGGGGAGTTTTGGCTCTTGTTCGCAGCAGTCTCTCTTGCTTTGGAATCAGACCGGAAGGACACTCTGTGGCTTCGCCTCAACTCCAAAACATCCCTTAAATTTATTTGCTGCCTTTATCGCTGTCCCTCAGACCATAAATGGGATGACCTACTTGAATACCTTGCACTCGAGATCGACTTTGGTTGGGCTCAAACAAGACTGATGTAACAGATCGTGCAGTTGAAGCGTTCTCTATTACCCAAGCGCTGACCCAGCTTGTGACGAGCCTGTCACATGCCAATAGTCTGCTGAATCAGCCTTGATCTTCTGCTGGCGAGCAGTGTCACAGGGTCTGTTGAACCAGCTGTTAAGACACTGGTCTCTTTCACTGTATGATGTGTTCTCCCATCCCGACGCGGATAATTTCTGTTATCGATGAACAGACGGCCGACGTATTCGCGTCAGCGAAACAAACACCTCTCCAGTGAAAGATGGAGAAGAAGTATCCGAGCCCTTCCCAGTTGGAACGTCCGTAATGCCAAATTTTGCGGCCTGGGCGAGTTTCTGCTGCCACCGCGGGTTCTGACCGAAACCTAACCTCCACAGCACCGTGGTCTGAGTTACCCAGAGTGGGACAGGACACAGAACCTTCTTTCAAAACCCCACTGTAGATATCAGATAAGCCGACGTCAAGTCCAGAAACAAATATAACGAAGCAGTTCACAATGTCAAAGACACAACAACAATATAAAAGTTAGGCACAGGGCAATGTCGCAGTGCAATGCCAGGTCTTTTTGGACGCTGGCCAAGCAGAGTGAAAGGAACTTCTCACAGAGTAGCTTTTCACCACTTACGTGTCAGGATGGAAAGATTGTAACCGACCCAAAGGCTAAGGCGGAAGTGCTTGCCAAGATCTTTGCTGTCAACTCCACCATGGGCGACCACCCAACGTCCAAGTGCCGTCGATATAACGGGTTCCCTACATTATGCTGGAAGTAACATTCAGGCATAAGACCGCGAGCTTCTGAACTACCTCTAACGTCACGGCTTGATATCGACAGGCAGTCTGGCATCAGCGATCCACAGTCTTATAGTGAGGCTCATGTCGATGTTCTTGATATTACGAAAGCATTCGATCAGCTGCGGCACGCTGCCCTCTAATACAAACATCCTATGACCTCCCAGAGAAGCTTTGCCTATGGGTGGCTGACTTTCTCTCGAGTGCTCTTGTCACTCGACATCAACCAAGCTTCTGGTCCGGACTTGATTCCTGCCATTGTACTGAAGATGTGTGCAGCGGAGCTTGCTCTAGTTCTCTCGCGTATCTTCCAGATATCTTACTTGTATGAATCCGGCACCTTCCCAGAAAACTGGAAATTTGCTCATGTCCAACCCATCCCAAAAAAGATCTAAGACCTATCCTTACAACTACAGGCCTATAGCTCTGCTTTCTGTTATAAGTAAGGTGATGGGGAGGTGCATAAATCGCGAGCTTCTGAACTACCTGGAACGTCACACCTTGATTAGCGACAGGCAGTATGGTTTCCGGCACCAGCAATCCAAAGGTGACCACCTAGCTTACGTCACGCAATTGTGGAGTAAACGTATCCTGGCTCATGGTGAGGCTCATGTTGTTGCTGTTGATATCACGAAAACGTTCGATCAGCTGTGACACGCTGCCCTCTGATGCAAACTGGCATCCTTTGTCCTCCCAGAAAACCTTTGCAGATTGGTGGCTGACTTTCTCTCTGGCCGCAAGATATCCGCAGTAATTGACGGGTTTTCCTCTTCAGCCCACAACGTCAACACGGGTGCTCTACAGGAATTGGTCTTGGCTCCGACACTGTTCCTTTTACATATCAACGACGTCCTTTCCTGTACTATCAACCCAATCCACAGCTTTGCTGATGACAGCACTCTACATGCAGGACCTCAGAGCGACAAGTCGATCTTTGCCGCTGAGCTGGAAAAAAAAGACTAGTGGCGACTTCCTCTCTGACGAGAAACCTGGAGGTTATCACTGCTTGGGGACGCAATATTCTTGTACAGTTTAATGCTTCCATAACACAGTACTGTACCTTGGCGAACAAAAAGCGTCCTAGCGCTCATGCGGTCCCGATAGATGGCCGAGTACTGCCAAAGAGCCATTAAATTTCGGCTGGTCTGAGTCTAGATCACCGAGGACTTGATCTGGCACGAACACTGGAAAACTCGTATTAACAAAATTTCTTTGGGATCCTCATAGCAGCGGTGTCCTGGCATTTAGGCTTCTACCTGTGCGACTGCTTCGGTATCTATATATAAAAAAACGTTTTTTCACTAAGATAAATAGTCTTAGAAATAACGTCAGTACCTCGATGACAGCTGTTTCCGGTAATATAAATACGTCAATTGCATCATTGTTATGAAAAGCTCTACTCCAATATTTACTTTACTATACTACTTTGTCACCATTTATAGGTATGAATTTATCAACGTCTGCGGCATCGTGGAGTTATACAAGAGGATCACCCAATATAACACACCATGAAAAAGCTGTGGCAAAATCATCCCCACTTAAAAGTAATTTTCCTTCAACACTCGGTGACTACATAACACATGAGAACGGATTAAACAAGTATCTGAAAGAATATGAAGAAGCAGAAAAGATTACCAAGATGGTGGACAAGTCAGAAAAGTCTGCAAATCTACTGAGTTCATTTTGGAGCCATCCTGTGACAAAAACAGCCAAGGATGTTTCATCTTTTTTGAAGAAGTGCCAGTATCAGTTGTCTACACAATCACCAAGTAAGTACAGATTGGTGCAATTAAGATTTTATTTTTTATATTGCTTACATTTAAATGCATATGCTCATTTGTACGGTTTTCGTTACAAATCGGCATAAGTTATTAAGAATTAATCAGTGCTTATACAGGGTGGGCCATCAAGTTGAGCGGATTTTAAAAAATCATAGAAAAAATAGATAATTTATATTTTTAATAAAGTAGACACATGGGAATTTTATTTTTTTAAAATACCATCATTGAGATGGGAGCCATGCAGACGTACGCACTCCACGAAAACTCGCTGGCATATCGCTCGTCGGATAGCGGAATCGTCATTAGCTAATTATCCCCAGAGTAAAAATCCAGTGACGTGAGATCTGGGCTCCGGGGAGGCCACGGAGTGTCCCCTCGTCGCGGGTATCAGTTTCTCACTAAACATTTCGTTTACAACTGCTAAAGAATCGTTGGCGGTACGGGATGTCGCGCCATCTTGTTGAAACCAGGTCCTGATATAGTAGGCTTCAAAATTATGCAGTTGTGGAAAAAAAAGTTACGTAGCAGTACTGTGTAGCTATTAGATTTTGTTACAGTCTGGCTTTGCTCGTTTTCGAAAAAATGGGGTTCGAACTGTAACATAACGCGAATGCAAAGGTCGTTGGTGTTTTAATTTGGGATTTTCTGCGGCTCAGTATCGGTAATTTTGCTTATTGACAAATCCACTCAAATGAAAATGAGCTTCATCAGAAAAGAGAATGTTATTCAAACTTGGAAAGTGCTCTAACATTGTTTCGGCAAACGCACGGCGTAGATAGTGATCATGCGGTTTCATTTCCTGCACTATTTGAAGTTTATATGGGTGTAATTCAAGGTATTTTAGCAAAATACGTCTTACAGATGTTCTTGATGTGGCGAGCTCAGCTGATCTCTTTTGGGATGATAGCTGTGGATCGCGCCGTACGGACGTCGCAACTTTGCTTACAGTTTCCTCTGTTGGTATTGACCCTGGACGCCCCGCAGGTTTCTGATTCAGAGTCGAACCGGTAGACTCGAACTTTCTGACCGACGAGATGGTCTCACATTTACTAGGACATTGATTTAGATCATGTAAACTAAACTCAGAGCTAAACAGAGGCCGCCACAATAGTGCACGAATTTCCTGTTTTGTAATAATCACGGTGCTCACCGGTAAAACGTGGCGACTAAATTTCCTAGCAGCAAGCTAAGTATCCCCACTACCCGTGCCCCGATTCCACGTGCCGGTCACGAGCAATGCGATTTTGAAATTCGTACGTCTTTCTGGTCCACCCTTTATTTTGAAGGTTTGCAGTGTCGTAAATTGAACAGCATTGGGTTAATCAGGGCAAACGCTCAACAACACCGTATTTTTGACAGGACATTTCTGTACAGAAAATTCCATTTGTGCTTGAACCCCCAATTTTAGTTTGGTGTTTAAACTTGTCTGATCGATTTGGTTTTTTTGGTTGTTTGAGCTCGAATGTGGGTGTGCAAGGAAAGAAAACAGCAAGACTTATTAGCTTTTCATTTCACGAAAAGATGCCTAGAAGAAACGTTTGTACTAAATATAGCAACGTACTCGAAAATAAAAACAGATATTTCCTGTGAAGAAAAAATAACACTCGTGCGCAGATAGCAAGTGAACCTCAAATTTATATCAGCAAGTAGACTAAATCATATTAGACGAAAATACCCCTGGCTTGCTAAATAATTGTAAAGTCTGGTTTTATTGCTGCAAGTTGTTCAAGGGGGTATTCAAAACATGGACGCATAAAATGGGTACACCATTTTTTGTGGGAAAACTTTTTATTCGACAACAAATAATGAGAATACGTGTTTTTTTGGGATTCAATCGAAAGTGTTGGCAGGATCGAAAAAACTCTCCATATAAGATTTGTAGGTATTCATGAGACCTACAAAACGATACGACACGTAAAAAGATCCAACGAATAGCAAAAAAGTTATGGCCCAAAACCGAGGCAAAATGCAGGTTTTGTTGGTAATGCGGCGATGGTTTCTCGCAGATATTTGAAATTATTCAAATTCGTAGGATTCGTACTTCTAAATAACCACAACAAAATTTTAGTAGATTGGTCAAGTAGTTTTAAGAATTTCTAATTGTTTATCCCAAAACACCTGTTTTCCGGCTATCACTACTAGTCTATTGAGCAATATACACGGTTAGTTCAAAGGGCATTTTATAGCAAAGTACACTAGTTTACCTTGCCGATAAAAATAGCAAACCGATTCCGGAAGATAAATGTTATTTTTATGCAAAAAACGATGGGGTACGTTTTTTCTTCAAAACAAATTCAAACATTTCGTATTTGTGAGTAATTCGCTACAAAAGATGATAGACAGGTGTTTTGGGATAAACAATTAGATATTTTCAATAAACTACTTGACCAATATACTACAATTTTGTTGAAGTTATTCAGAAGTATGAATCCTACGGATTTGAAGAATTTCAAGTAGTTGCGTGAACTTATCGTCGCATTTCCAAGTGCCAAAATCTGCATTTTGCCTCGTTTTTCGGCCATAACATTTTTGCTATTAGTCGGATCTTTTCACTTGTGGTCTCATTTTGTAGGTCCAATAAATACCTAAAAATCTTATATGAAAAGTTTTTTCGTTCCTGTCAGCACTTTGGATTGAATCCCCAAAAACACGTTTTCTCATTCTCTGTTCTCAAATAAAAAGTTTTCCCACAAAAATTGGTGTACCCATTTTATGCGTCCATGTTTTAAATACCCCGTTGAACAACTTGCATACAATAAAACCAGACCTTACAATTATTTCGGGGAAATTTGCTAATATGATTAGACTAAAGAGGCATATAAGGGCTATGCAAAATGCCTTGTCTTGTTGTTTAACTGGAATTACCTCTGCTATAAATGTGTAAGTGATAATTGTACAACGCAAGCATGCGCGTAGCCAAGAGGGGGTAGTGGGGTAGTTACTCTCCCAGATTCAGATGGTTGTATACAGGGTGCTTCAAATTCGACCCTTACCATTGGAATTTCGGAAACTGTAAAGCATTCCACAAACCGGCGCGAAATATTCGCTTTGGCTGCGAAAATTTCACGGCGATGAATTCGCGATCAGATTAAAACGCGGCGGTTTACGGACAGGCTCAGACTTGTGCGAAGCGAATGCGATTATTCCAGCGTTTTTATCGCGGCGTATTTCAGTTCGCCTTTGACCGCGTTGTTGACGCCGTTCTTCAAAAATTCGCAATGGCAAAAACGGAATCATTGATAGAAATAGTGAAAAAGTATCCTTGTTTGTATGATTTGTCGAACGATGAATACAGGAATGTGAGAAAGAAAGTCAAGATTTGGATATATTTTTTATTAACTTGTTAAATAATTTACAGTCTACACAAATGTGAAAACGAACATTCTATATATTGGGCATAGGCATATCAGAATTAAAATAATTTACGAATTTGTCACGAGTAGAAAATGCTAGCCTTGCTGCCCGCCGAGGATCATTTGCTATATCAGTAAAAGCTCCAAGCACGGGTTCTGGGGGATCTAAGAACTGAAAATATTTGTCATCGCCACTTTTACTTCGTAAAAAATTGTGTAAAACACATGCCGTACGTACAATTAGAATAGTAGTATCTACTTTAGTTTCTAATGGCCTGTAAAATATTCGCCATTTTTGAGACAAAATACCAAACGCATTTTCCACGACCCTTCTAGCTCGACAAAGTCTTACATTGTATTTCTCTTTTCTGACGTGTGTTAAAGTCTGCTTATAAGGAAATGGTCTCATAAGGTATGGTTTTAAAGCAAATGCTTCATCACCAATTAAGACGTACGAGCAGATTTCATTTTGCCCAGGGAGAAATCTAGGTGCAGGGACACTCATTAAATTTTGTTCAAATGGTTTTCCCATGTTTGAGGTTTCGAAAATACCCCCATCACTATTTTTTCCGAAACCACCAATATCAACACATATAAATTTATAGTCCGGGCCAACAATGGCCATAAGTACTATTGAATATTTATGTAAATAGCACCAGTAATTGGAGCCACTGTTGTTAGGTCTCTTGATTGTTACATGTTTACCGTCCACGCTGCCAATGCAATTGGGAAATCCCCATATATTTTCAAATTCTTCAGCACATTTTTTTCCATATATTCTCTGTTGGTTCTGGTAAATATATATGCTCCATATGTCTGCATATCGCTTCACAGACTTCGGTTACGATTGCACTCACTGTTGTAAAGCCAACTCGAAAGCTATGCCCAATGGTATAGAAGGTGTCACCAGTGGCAAGGAATCTATAAAAAAATCGTTTTTAGGTGATGAAGTAAAAAAAAGGTGGAAGAATATCAGAGACACATTTGCAAAATATATAAAATCTACCAAATCAAAGACCGGCCAAGCAGTGGGCAACATAAAAAAATGGCAGTGAGCTGACTACATGGAGTTTTTCCGTCCTTTTTTGGCATTTGCCAAAACGTCGTCTAATGTGTTTAACTCAAATATATATCAGGAAAGGGCTGGAAATGTAGAAACCGAAAATTTGGAAGACCGCGGCCATGGAGAAGATGAAAATGCTGATGTAGATGCAGAAGATGCACAGAACGCCTCGGCAACACAGACAGCACCACCTTCTTTATTGAACACTACAGCAGTGACTACTCCAGGGCACACCTTTCCGCAGACTGCAACTACACCAAAATATAAAACGAGCAGAAAACGCTATGAACCACCATCTTCGTCTGTACAACAGAATTATTTTGAAGGTAAACAACCTAAAAAAGAGAACGAGGCCATTGATTCACTTTTCTTGGCACATGCACAGACTGTGAAAACACTTCCCTTAAAGCGTCAAGCCCGAATAAAACTAAAAATAGCCGAATTAATAGCGCACGAAGAATTTGAACATATTGAAGAAATGTCTTCAGCGTCTACCCAGAACTCTGCAAGTATGTATGATAGTAGTATGTCGTCCTTCCCAAGCGGCACTGGGTTTACTCCAATAATATACC